GAAAGTTCTAAAATGCCTTCAGTTCCCTGCTCTTCAGTTTCTACTAAAAAATGTTGCACTCTAGTTAAGTTTATAATATTTATTGCTACCAAACCATGAAAAGTTGAATACTTATTGTAGTTCTTACCTTTTATCTTCTACATGTCTTTGCTTCAGGTTATTCGTGGGGTTATCTTATTCTTCTCTATGTCTTTGTGCAAGTATCCCGTTGCATTGTTGTTGGGGTATTATTTCCATTTTTACAATATTTTGGATATGGTTTGGATTTGAAGGAAGCTGCTATTTTAATATGGTCAGGCTTGCGAGGTGCTGTTGCATTAGCACTTTCACTATCATTTAAGGCAAGTTACATGAATTAGGTCAGATATATATATATTATTCAAACATGTTAGTTCTATATAATTTGCTCCAATAGCAAGTTTCCCAAATATTTGCACACTTTTTTTAATAGTTAATTTTTTTGGCACTTTTTTTTTTCACATAATCTGGTGTCAAAAAGTTTCTTGTACTCAGGTAGCTTCTGATTATTAAAACCTAACTGGTCAGAATGATTACCGTATCTTTTTCTTTTCCTCTTTTATGAGAGTAAACCTTGTTATAGAAAGCTATTACCTACCTTTACCATTGTGCCCATTGCAACAATTTCTCTATATCATCATGTGTCTAACTTCTACTTATCTCATTTGTGATTGGCTTAGAATTCCAGCATGAGCTTAACAACTATCAGTTCAGAAACAGGAAGCCTAGTGAGTTTCTCTGACATGCGTCTTGATTATGTTTTCGCTTTGGAAGGTTTAAACCTTACACTATTTAGATGCTAATTGGGGAATTTATAACTGGAAAAGAATACCTATGTTAATTGACAACTTGAATTGATAGCATTTTCTAATAATTTCTTGCAGTTTGTTTTCTTCACTGGTGGAATTGTATTCTTGACGCTCATTATTAATGGATCAACTACACAATTTATTTTACATTTTCTGGGTATGGATAAGCTTTCAGCAACCAAGGTGATTGTTCTGCTACTTCACAAAATACTTTGTTTCTGTAATTTTTCCTTGAACACAACTTGCTTTGTAAGATCTCTTTTCTTATTTTATAGTTATATTTGTTTCCACTTATGACAGAGACGTATAGTGGACTATACAAAGTATGAAATGTTGGATAAAGCATTAGAGGCTTTTGAAAAACTTGTAGATGATGAGGAACTTGGACCTGCTGACTGGCCTACTGTAAAGAAATATATTGCAAGCTTAAATAATCTTGAGGGTGACCCTGTGCATCCTCATAG